CCCTGCAGCACAGCCGACTCTGTACCCCTTAAGCTATCCAGTCCTTACTTCCATCGCACATCCGCATCATGCATCGGCCTGACCGGTCACTTGCGGATCCACCGCACGGTGACCGGTGAACCAGTTACAGGAGCGTAAACACAAACCCATCGCATTCTCCTCAACTTTCCGCACTGTACACGCACATACAGTAACCGCATGAGTCCATGAGACTACATTCACCTCAATTAATACGTATGATAGAAGACATCACCAAGTCTCTCCTCACCCGCAACTACATCACCTGTAATCACGCTTATCGTCAAAAAACATATGCATGCAACAAGCACCTCTCACGCGAGAGAGAAGTGCGATCCTCTGCTCTCTCTCTCTCTCTCCATATAGCTCCTCTACTACATGCATTACCTGAAAATAAAACTATCACGGTTATTCAAACGCCGTGGCTTGGAATGTTGCCAGCCAAAAAGATAACCCGGACTGCAACGTCAGCCCAGTGTGTGCTTGTGTGAAGTGACCGACTGGTGGACTGGGAGTCAAGCTGCATTAGCTCCTTTATAACGCTCCTAGCCAAGTGTAGCGGCACTCATAGGGGCGACGCCGACCGTGCCAGCCACCTGTGTCCACACCCAACTGTGATCTTCTTTACTTGATCATTAAATCGGTCTCATGCGGGAAGGGGGAGGGAAGAGAGGAAAGAATACGCTAGATGTAGCGCAAGTCTGCTCCCACTTAAAACTGATTTATGCGCAAGCCAACGTCCCTGCACCACCGTGCTGTGGAGCATATGACGGATCTCGTCGGATACGGTCGTTAAACTTTCGTGGATGAGTTGGAGAATTTGGACAAACAGACGGTAGTCGGCCTGCAACCTATCGAGAGGTGTGTAGTGTGTGGTCTTAAAAGTGAAAAGGCTCAAAAGTTTCCACGCCTCTTTGGAAAGTGGAAGGAAACGAATGAGACAACAGTCAGGTAGGCTGAGACCACGCCGAAAAGGGAGGCCAAATCGCCTGAACAGATTTGGAAAAAACAGATTTTGCCAGTAGCCAGACCTGCACAAATGCAGGCATTTAAAAAGATGCACTGCCAAAAAGTATCCTGGCGCCTCGCGGAGCGTATAAACCGGGCAGACATGGAACGGTCGCCGTCCGGACTGGATGTTCGTGTTAGGTGTGTGGGTGCCATTCGATGCAGTTTTTGTGTCTCGGGTATTTTCAAAGCCTCTGCTTCAAGCACCTCCGGTTCTACCATTCGGACCACGGTTTTAACTATTGTGCATTCGAGATGTTCACTTCTAGTCATGTGTACCTTGCACGTTTCAAGAGTTAGCGCTACCCTGCGTGTCACATGATGTAAGTTCGCCTTCACATCGTGGAAAATGGGGTACTCCAACCGGATTGAAAGGCCCTCTTCAATGAAATCCAGGCCACTGTCCCTTTTATGCGTTACTTTGGCTGACTTCAAAGAAACGTTAAAATGCTTTGTTGCGAAGCACTTTGAGTAGCCAGTGTCGAGAAGGCAACGGCTTGCTGATAATATGATTTGCTCCTTCTGAACGAGCTTCGCGGGTGAAGAGGTCTTCCAGATAATACTTTGTTTGGGTAGGGTGGGAAGAAGCATATATTTCGGTGGGATGTTTATGTTCCGGATAAAAAGGCGATGCTTCTTCCAGGACTGAAGAGGACTAAAGAATGGGATTCTGGTAGCCAGATTAAGGGCTCTTTCAGCGACCTGATATTCCACTAAAAGTAACCTCAAGTCTGTCTCAAAGGTAGGGATGACACCTAGACTGCCTTCCCACATCGGTACTGTATCGAAGCACTGAAGTGCTCCGTTTTCTCCTACGATGACAAGGGCGTAGACAGAGATAGGAAAAACATCAGCAAAGAGTAGACGTATAACGCTGTTGTTTGTTTGCGTTAAAGGCACAGGACAGGCATCTTCCCATACAGGTACAATTCGCTCTGTTAACCAATCACTGCTGATGACGTCGGAGAAGAGAACAACACTGGTTGCAAAATTGCGCAAGGCTGGTGGTGGTTCATGTGAGACCGCCGCGTAGGTTCGCCTATCACCTCCACCATAATAGACAACATACCTCCTGAGACTCAAGGGTCTCGCGGCTAAACCGGGGTGTTCTACATACCGCTTCGAGCTGGGGGTTAAGTAGGTGGGGGATTTAGTGACCACTGGAACAGGGGGATTCTGGATGCTACTTACATCCATCGATGTCGGCCAATCGGTTGGTGACTGAGTGGATTTGCCAACAAACTTGCCGGTTCGAAGATCCGTGGGTGAGCTAGCAGTGTTTGCCATCCTACTCATTTTATCGGATCTTGATGGAGTGCCCTGACGAATAACAACGTTAACAGATGCTCCTACCCCCTTCGTTCCACCCCTAGGCTGTGGTTGTGGCGTCAATGGGGTAGTCAGAGTAACCTTTGGGCAAGCGGAGGACGGTGGAGTCTTAATTCCAACAAACTTGTGCGTCACGGGATTCTGCTCAATGTGCACTAGGCAGTTACTCCTCACTATCTCTTCATTTTTTAAGGTCCCATTTGCCACCAATTCCTTTGGATCCCTCGTGGAGTTTACCCGATGTAAGAATTTGTTAGAAAACGTTTTCGGGGGTGGATGCGCCTTGTTCCGGTGTATGGCTTCTTCGATAGAAGTCTTTTTACGTTTGCGTGGCGCCACTCTGGGCGCGACACGACAAATAAGAGGCGTTCGGTTGGTTTTAATCACCTCATTTATGTAGTCTGTCACAGCTTCCTGATTTTTCCTGGCCATAGTTGATCTAAAAGGTGTTCTCTTAGCCAGCGATTCTCCGGAAGACTGGCTGTCTCTATCACCCTGGTTGTACAGCCCAAGCAAAGCCATATGCTTGTTCTGGATGAGGGTGGGCATATGCTTCCCCTTGTTAGGGAAGTCCCGAT